CATGTAGGTCTGGCCCAGGGCTCTGCATGTCAAAGTGAGGGAAAGCAAGGAGGTTCCCATCAACAGCAGGAGTGAGACAACAGAAGCCAGGTCATCTGATCAGTGACATGCATCAGGGCCACTGTCCCACTGACCTAACCTACCATCAAGCAAAACCACAGTAAGGGAATAGGCTTGGTGGAATCAGTGGAGGCAAATAAAAGAAAAAAAAATGTCATTTATGATACACAAAAAAATCATGAAACAGGGAGAAATCTAACCAAAAAACTACAACATTCATAAACTGACCACTGCAAGACACTACTGAATGATTTTTTTAAAGATCCAAATAAATGAAAAGTAGACCATATTCATGGATAAGAAGGGTCAATGTGCTGGGCTCAGTGACTCCCACCTAGAATCCCAGTGACTCGGAGGCTGAGGAAGGAGGATCATAAATTCTAAGCCAGTCTCAGCAATTTAGTGAGACCCTGTTTCAAAATGAAAATGAAAAGGGCTGGGGATAAAGCTCAGTGGAAAAGCCTACCGGGTTTAAATTCCTAGTACCATAGGGGGGAAAAAGAATACCTCATACAGAGGTGGGTGTAGGTATGTGATCCCAGTGACTCGGAGGCTGAGGTGGGAGGATCACAAATTTGAGGGCAGTTTCAGCAACTTAGTGAAACCCTCTGCCACTTAGTGAGACCCTGTCTCAAAAGACGGGGCTATAGCTCGGGACAAAGCACTCTGGCTTCAATGCCCAATACCTGCCCCCCCTCAAAAAAAAAAAAAAACCCACCATGTGATAGTATTTGTGGATCCACATGTGACATCAAGGGTACAGAGACACACACGGGCAGAGAAGCCACAGGTCCAGGGCGGTGGGAGGTCCAGAGGGGAGAGTGGGAGACCAATTAAAATGTACAGCAGCCCCGCCCCTTCCCAGGTTTCCCCTGCACACAGCACCCTGGGCTGGTGGAGCCCCAGATGGGAGCCTGGGCAGAGGCTGGCTGGACTTTGAGACCCACAGCAGGCAGTTGTGGGGTGTTTACCTGCTGGCACGGGGCTCTTGCAGTGCGGAGAGTCCAGGCATCCTCTGGCCCTTTGCAGAACTCCAGCCCTCAGGGGCTCAGCTTCCCACATTCCCTCTCTTTTATTTCACAGCTCCTCCTCCTCCTCCTCCTCCTCCTCCTCCTCCTCCTCCTCCTCCTCCTCCTCCTCCTTTTTCTTGGTACCAGGGGTTGAACCCAGGGGCACTTAACCTCCAAGCTACACTCCAGCCCTTTATATTTTGAGACAGGTTCTTCTAAGTTGTGAGGCTGGCCTAGAACCTGCGAGCCTCCTGCCTCAGCCTCCCGTGTTGCTGGGATTACAGGTGTGCATCACCATGCCGGCTCACTTGGCACTTTGAAAGATTACTTTTTGGGGTACCAGTGATTGAATTCAGAGGCACTCGACCACTGAGCTATATCCATAGCCTTATTTTTTTATTTAGAGACAGGATCTCACTAAGTTGGTTAGTGCCTCACTTTTTGCTGAAGCTGGCTTTGAACTCATGATCCTCCTGTCTCAGCCTCCTGAGCTGCTGGGATTATAGGTGTGTGCCACAGCACCTGGCATCATTATTATTTTAACCAGAACATTCTCAGCAAGACTGAAGATTTCAGCCTCTGTATGCTATATCTTTGTTTGCTTTCCCTTGGTGCTGGGGACTGAACTCAGGGGCACTCGACTACTGAGCCACATCCCAGCCCTATTTTGTATTTTATTTAGAGACGGGTCTCACTGAGTTGCTAAGGGCTTCACTTTTTGCTGAGGCTGGCTTTGAACTCCCGATCCTCCTGCCACAGCTGTGCCCTGTGAGTGGTCGACAGGGGCCCGTCCAGCTTCATGGCTGCTTCGTCTTTCTGTATCCTCAGGATGTCGGGAGAGATGCTCCCTGGTGCCCTCCTGTCCCTGCCCTGGCTCGCTCCCTCTCTCCTCTGCTTGTCGCCCAGGCACACTCTTCCCACCCAGGAATGAGGGCCAGGTGCTGGGTGCAGCTGGACGCCCAGGGCCCAGGCCTCTCCCTGTCCACCTCTTTTGGTCCTGCAGCCTGGGAGCAGTGGATAGACCCTGCCGGACCCACAGGGCACAGTACCAGCTGCCGTGCCAGCATCACAGAGATGCCTCCTATCCATGTGGGGGACGTTCGTGGAAGTTGTGGGGAGAAAATCTGGCTGCAGAACCCTACAAGAATTCTGGCGTRCAGGGAGGCTGAGGCAGGAGGATCGTAGTTCCAGAGCAGCCTCAGCAGCCCTGCCGGGTGGGTCCTGTGATGGAGGGCCCCTGGTCCAGCCCAGCCCTTCAGTCCACAATGTGCTGATGCAGCTCAGAGGAAGAGCCCTCCTCGGGTGGACGCTGACCCAGGTCTGTCCTTCCCCTTAGTGTCCATGTTGCTGGGCCCTGAGGACATTCGCAGCTTCCCCCATGTTCAGGAGCAGACCCCTCCCTGGAGACCCCTTCAGTGAGGAGGAGGGACTTGTGGAGGGCAGGCGTGGTCCTGGTCCCCAGGCCCCTGGCTCGTGGGAAGGCCCCGCCGGCCTCGTTCCCAGCTCTCACTGTTTATGTCTCCAGAGTGGGAGACGCAGAGCCGCCAGGACCAGGCCCAAAGACAGACTTCGTTCAGGGCTCTGGTGGCGGGGGCCAAGAGACCTCAGTGTGCACCTGGACTCAGGGCACAGCCTGGCCAGTGGGGACTGACTGCCCAGGAACACGGAGGGTGAGGATCTGGCTAAAGCACCCAACAGGGTTCTTGCTGCAGGCCAGGTGACGGGACCAGAGCGAGGGTGACGGAGGAGGAGGACGAGGGAGGGGCTTCCCGACTCAGCAGTGGATGCCCTCTCAGGGCCCCCCACGCTGTCCCCTCCTCCCTGACCTGCAGGAAGAGCCTGCCCTGGGTAGGGGGCAGGAGCACAGTCGGGGTCCCAGAGCTGAGAGAGCCCACTCCCTGTCCCCTACCTGCTGTGGGACAGTCCCTCCAGCTCCCCATCCCGGCAATGCCGCCCACCGAGCCTCCCAGTCCCAGGGGTGGTCACTTTCAGGGGCAGACGCAGGCTGCAGGACTCAGTCCCCCAAGAGCAAAGCTCATCATCTGGGCTCCAAGGAGGGTGAGATAAGAGGGCACCAGTGGCCTGGGGGCAGGCGGAGACCTTTGCCCTCTGGCCCTTTCCTGAGCCAAAGTAAAAAGGCCGGGCCGGGCCGGGTTGCAGACGGGCTGGCAGGAATGGGGGCGTGGGCAGCCAGAACGCCCCTGAGTGCTGGGCCAGGCTGGGGGCCAGGTCAGCGGGCAGGGCACTGGGGAGGGCACCGAGTGTCGAAGCCCCAGTGCCCTGCAGGCACCCAGAGGGCAGCGATGTCAGGGGGGGAGAAGCCCGTGGGTGGGGCCGTGGGGGAAGGATCAGGGGTTCCAGTGCCCCCTAAAGCAGGAGTAGAGTCCTGAGAAGGGCCCAAGACCAAAGAATGACTCAGGGGGTTGACTGGAGGCAGGGGAGTTGTGGGGGGTGACCAGGACAGTGGGTGACAATGGAGAGAGCAGAGACTCCAGAGAAACGGGAGGGAAGCTCGGGAGGAGGCCTCGGCCAGTGCCAGGTGCCAGGAAGGTGAGGCAGAGGAGAGCCCCTGGACGGGAGTGAAGCCACGGAGGATCGGGTCAGGGAGAGGGCTCTCGGTGGGCCTGGCACGCGCGTGTGCGTGCGAGTGCGTGTGTGTGTGTGTGTGTGTGTGTGTTAGGGGGTCTTTGGGAATTGTGGAGACAAGACGCTCTAGAGAGAGGGGAGAGGGGCCAGGAGGTGCCCGTCCTGGAAACCACAGCCACACAAAGATCTCCAAGAAGAGGGCAGGACCCTGGGTACCCCCGGATGCGCACAGCCAGGAACGCTGAGGCCCAGTCCTGGCAGGAGCAGGCCGGCGGGTGCTGGGGACGGCCTGTTGGGAGGTGAGCTGGGGAGGTGACAGGGGGGCTGCAGAAGGACCACCTTGGACGTTGGCTTTGGGGGGCATGGGAGAGGAAATGTCCCCCCAGGGTGTCTGGCAGAAGCCTGTGTCTCAGAGCTTTTGGCAGTCCTCAGGAAAGGAGGCACCTGGGAGGAGGGTGGCACAGTGGCAGGGAGCAGGCTGGGAGACAGCAGGGAGCAGGGGCCCCCTCAGTGGGGCTACTGAATGGGTGGGCTGGAGGAGGCTCCAGGGGACAGAACCAGGCCCTGAGACCAGGGTGTGGCACAGAAAGGGTTAAAGGGGCACCCTAGGGGATCACTTGGCCAGAGACCTCCTGGGTAGCTCACATTCCAGCGCCCTAGTAGCCCCCCACCTGCAAAGAAGGATTGGAGACAGCTCATGTTGCCCAGGAGCCTGGTGGGGATAAGTAAAGGGTCACTCCTGCAGAGAGTCAGGAAGGCCACAGACACAGCGGGGACCACAGGGAACACAGATGAAGCAAGAGGAAGGGGCCTGAGTCACAGCACCCGCCGGCGCGCCCCCCTCCTCGCTGGCACACGTGTCCCTGCAGGGAGCCCAGACCTGCAGGCCATGTCAGCGGGGCGGGGATCAGCAGGGAGAGTCCACACCACAGGGCGCAGATCCACCAAGCAGGGTCCATGGGGTCGAGGACCTACAGGACTGGAGGCGGGGGACTAAGGTTTGCAGGGCCAGGGTCCGCGGGGTCGCCGTCCAGATCAGGGCCTGCGCGGAGAGCCGGCTATCAGGGTCCAGCGACGTGGGTGTCACCCGGAGGTCAGCTGCGGAGAGGTCCTCSGGGTTGTGAGCAGGGTCTTAGGAGCGCGCTCCGGGGGCCTGGAGTCTGCGCTCGCCGCGCCTCCCGGCCGCCGGTCAGCAGCGCCGTGCGCGGGCGGGGACCCTCGGCTGCCCCCACCCAGCGGCCGCTCCCGCCCCCTTCCCCTCCCCCTCCGCCGCCCAGTGTCACCGCCGGGAAGTTCGAGCGCAGCAGGCGCAGGGCGCGGGGCTGAGCCGGTGCAGACCCCGAGCGCGCAGCTCTGTGGAGTCAAGCGGCTGCGGGCGCCAGACCTGAGCGCGCGGAGGACCGAGGGAGCCTAGCGGCACCGCGCGGTGAGCACTGGGAGGCCCGAGGGCACGGCCCGGGCGGACCCCGCCAAGGCTCAGAGCTGGGCTCCCCGGAGCGAGTGGTCCCCAGGGTCCTTGCCCACGTCGGACGCCTCCTTTCCCAGCCCCGGGGATGCGCCCTCAACTCTTGGACAGTCACCTGGTCCAGCACCGTCGGTTCAGGGGTCTCAGTATTTGCTCTTGCACTCTGGTCCCTGGGACCGCGGCCTCGGGGACCTGGGTGCGGATGGCTGCGGGCCCTAGGACTGGCCCCTCCCTCCAGACCCTCATTCTTCCCCCCACGCGCGCCCTCGCAGCACCGAGGCGAGGCACAGGGTCCTGGGCAGCTCCGGCTTCCCTCTGTGTCCTGTCCCTGCTCCCCAGTAACACCCGGGTTTCCCAGGGTGGGTGAGGGGCACTGGAACCTCACCGGGCTGTCCTTCCACTTGTGACTTTGACCCGCAGCCAATGCAGGTCACTGCCCTCTCCAGCCTCTCTGGAGTCCCCGTCCCTCTTCTGGGTCAGGGGGATTTATGCCCCACTCAGAACGGACTGACCCCTGTCCTCTTGGCGCCAGGCATCCTCTGAGGACCAGCCAGGGCTGTTTTGCTGTCCTTCTGTGTTGGGGACCTGGGGGCTGGGGGGTGGATCTCAACACCCTCTGTCCTGCATCCCAGGCTTGCCCTGTGGTCAACAGCCGTGGGCTGATCCCGCCCCCAGGCCCTGCCTGACCTTCCAGCCACTTGGGTTTCACAGAAACCTCCCACCTCTCACCTCCCTGGGGCTCCAAGGGTGCCTGAGAGACACCCTCCCTACCCCTGCGGATCCTGGGACACCAAGGGCACTCCCTGCCTTCCTGGGTTAGTGGGCCGTCCACTGGATCTGGGGTCCCTCGCCCCCCCCCCCCAGTGGGAACTGGTGTGACATTGGCCTTGCCAGGAACACCTGAGTCATGTGTCTGGCTGGAACTGGCATGGGGGTGTGCCAGCCCACAAGTAGAGGACCAGCCAGGTCAGACCCAGTGGCTTGTGTGGCCAGAGGTGTTTGCTGCGGAGGAGGTCACCAGGGGAGGAGCCTGCTGGCAGCAGCCCGGCGGCAGACTGGTGGGCAGCTTGGGGTGTGACAGCCATCATACCCAGCCCTCTGCCCCTTGAAGTCTGGGGCCAGCGACAGGCAAGAAGGAGGAAGGGTGGGTGCCGTCGGACCTGTCCCCTGTCACCCTTCCACCCTGCTCCGAGCCAAGGAGGGAATAAGGTGGAAAAAGGGCCAGGCCTGGCCAATGTGAGTCCCGAGTGGCACCTCCATATCCCTGGCTGGTCCCGCCAGGTTCCTGCTCACTCACTCATTTGACAGATGTTTATCAGGGGCCTGAAGAGCTGTCTCTGGGCATCCGTGTGGCCCCACAGTGGGGCCTGGACAGGCTGTTCAGGTCCATCAGAGCTTCCCTGCAGGGGACAGCCCTCGTCCACCCTCTGGAGGCTGTCCACCCTCTGGAGGCTGTCCCCCTCGGGGATACTAACTTGGGAGTGGAACGATGTGCCCTTGGGCCCGAGCCCCCGTGCCTGTCCTCCTCCCTGGAGACGTCAGCCTCACAGGGCTGGAAATCAGCCACACCCGCCACCCTTTCCCAGAGCTGTCGCCCCCACGTCCTCCCCACCCCGCGGTGGAGGACTGACAGCTTTTGTCCTCTCCCACATTCCTATCAGGGGTGCAGAGGAGGATTGCCTGGGCCTCTGATATTTTGAAGAGGGGTCTGAGGCTCTGATGCCCAGGGACCTGGGGCCGGGGAGTCCTTGAGCCCGCCTGGCCTGTGGCCTGGGACACTGAGCTTGTGTAGAGGGACGTCTTCAAGGGTCTCCAGCCCCACCTGCTTGACCTTCTGTGGGGTGGTCTGGGGGCATGGAGCGTGCTCCTCCTGGGCAGGCTGCCGTGGAGAGAGGCAGGGGCCTCCGAGGGCCAGCACAGCCCATCTCCCCTCCACTCTGCCTCTGAACACGACTTTACTCTGGGGCTCCTGGTGGCTGGCCCCGGGCTTGAGCAGCCCCTGGAGCGGGCCAGCCACACTCTTTCCCACAGTCAGCTTCTAAGGTCCTCATGGCCCTGGGAGGTCAGCAAGAAGGCTGTCAGATACCCCCATTTTCCCAGCAGGGATTGGGGGTGAATTGGGGTTCTGGGGGTCTTGGGGTCTCCTCCTTGGCTGTCCTTCTTCACTGGGGTGGGCCACCCTCCCTCAGTGCCCAGGCCACATCCTCCTATGCCCCCTGCCTGTCTCTCCACTGTCCATCCACCCTGGCCATCCCTGTCCTTTCCCTCTGCCCCACCAACATGCCCACCCGTCAGCTCTCTTCCTCCAGGGCCTCAGCTGGAGCCCAGACACCGTGGTCAGGAGTCTTCAGACGGGAGGCCTGCTCTTGGCTGGACTACTCTGACCCAGCCCAGCTCAGTAGACTGGGCAGCCACAGCAGATGGGGTTGTTTGATCAGAACCAGAAGAGGAGACGTCCCCTTGGCGACCCCAGAGCAGGGGATACCCAAACTCCCCCTCCTCCTTCGCCTACCTGCCAGCTGCCCTCTTCCCAGCAAGAGCCCTTCGCTGGCAGGGCGCTGCGGCCACACCTGTCATCCCAGCAGCTTGGGAGGCTGAGGCAGGAGGATCATGAGTTCAAAGCCAGCCTCAGCAACTTAGGCTCTAAGCACCTCAGCAAGACCCTCTCTCTAAATAAAATACAAAAAAAGGGCTGGGATGTGACTCAGAGGTTGAGGGCCCCTAAGCTCAAACCCCGGAACCAACTATAAATAAATTAATTTAAAATAAGAGGGGCGGTTGGGGATTTAGCTCAGTGGCAGAGTGCTTGCCTAGCTCACAAGGCCCTGAGTTCGGCCCCCAACCCTATGGGGAGGGGAACAAAAGTGGGGCTGGGGCTGGGGCTACGTGGCAGAGCACTGGCCTGGCATGTGTGAGGCACTGGGTTCAGCACCACACATAGATAAACAAAATAAAGGTCCATTGACAACTAAAACAAAAAAAGAAGAGCCCTTTACTCTGTGGATCTTTCACTGAATCCCGAGCCTGGACGACTCCCAGGGGCCAGGGACTGGGGACCTGCCACTCCTGGGTCCTATGTCCCTCCAGGCCGTGTGATGGAAGGCTCCAGCTGGGGTCAGGAGCCCCCAGCAGGCTGTGAGCCACCGCCGTGCTGCAGCAGGACGGCTGAAGGGCAGGGCAGCCCTGTGGCCGAGCTGGCCCGAGCGCTGGACTGGACTTACTGCAGAGGGTTAAAATCCAGGCTGCCCCCTCAACCTGGTGCCCAGGCCCACCTAGAACCCCTACCTTAGCCACAGCCGCACCCCTCTCCATCCTACTGCCCTGTTCTTCCTGACTCTGACTTCCAATCAGCCATCTGTCTGTCCGTCCAGCTGGACACTCCTCACTCCTTTCTGGCCTCAGGCTGGCAGTGAGGCCCACCCAGCTCTGCAGACCCAGGAGCTCCCCGCCTCTCCTGTGGGACTCGGTTGAGGCCAGAGAGGCTCTGCTGCTTCCAGGACCCGAGAAGCAGTGTGTCCCCTGGCCCCGTCTCCGCGGGGCTGATCTGCCAGCCTGTGGTGCCCTAGGGGACCCTGGCACCCAGCCCGAGCCTTGGATGAGGGCCATGGGTCCCCTGGGCATGCTGGTCTTGGGAAAGGGGGCGCGGGTGTGGCAGAGACCACCTGAGCATGTGCCCCACACCTGGCCCCTGGCCTGGGGAGGCAGGGCCTGGCCCTGGGGAGAAGCGGTGGAAGGCCTGGGCACCCCACCCTCGTGCTTGGCACCCCAAGCCGGGCAGGTTGCCTGATGAGCCGGCTCTCCCAGGGGCTAAGAATAGGTGTGGGGTGGGGGCTGGTGGGGGCTGGGCCCAGCTGAGGCCACCAGGCTGAGGGAGGAAGTAGATGGCTAAGGGCCTGGTCCCCTCCATGAGCTCTGGGTGGCCACACCAGAGGGTGGAAGGTGGCTGCCACCCGCAAGCGGGAGGGCTCTGGAATGGTTGACAGACAGATGGCCTCGCGGGGTGGACAGTGACCTCCAGCTCCTCCAGCCGCTCACTGGCACAGACCACGTCGGCTCCCTGCTCTGTGTTTTCCACCTCAGCAGACTTGGAGGCTGGTTGCTGGGGGGAAGGACCCTGGGTCAGGCCTCTCCCTAGATCCCATGGCTCTGACCCTCTGCAGCTCAAGGGACCTGTGAACACCCCCAAGGAGCCGGTTGTGAGGCCCCTGCCAGATGTGGGGGACAGCTACCCAGAGGCATGTCCCCCGTCCGGCCCTGGCATCCCAACCTGCTGCTGCTGCTGCTGCTGGCCTGCCAGGTGAGGCTGCACAGCCTCTGCCCGGTGCGGGGGGCCCCAGTCTGCCCTGTGCTGACTCCGCTGGTTCTCTGACTCTGTCCTTCTGGCTGCTGTCCCCTGGTCCGCCAGCCGCAGGCCCTCTCTGCCCAGGTAATGGACTTCTTGTTTGAGAAGTGGAAGCTCTACAGTGACCAATGCCACCGCAACATGAGCCTGCTGCCTCCCCCAACTGGTGAGCCCCCGCAGGCCCCCAGCTCCTGCCGGCCGTGCAGCCTGGAGCTTGCTCCCGGGAAGGCTTCCCGGGTGCCCAGGTGGCCCACAAAGTGGGAGACACCAGAGAGGGCAGAGTGGCCCCAGGACTGGTGCGCTTCACTGTCCTGGCTGCTGCCACAGTGCCCCGAGCCCACAGAGGGCAGCCAGTGCTCAGGGGAGATGGCTGGCAAAGCCCCCAGACTAGGCAAGTGGGAGGGAGATGGGTCAGATGCAGACACAGGCTGGTGGTCACTCTGGTACAGGGAGAAATGGGGCCAGAGAGCACACCCTGGGGTCCTGCACCGTCAGATGAGGGACAGCAGCCTGTGGCAGCTGTAGGGTTGGCTCCTGGATGGAATTGGGGTTCAGCCCCCAGGGGAAGGTGCTGGAGGAAGGTGGGGGGAAGGAGACCCAGTGTGGGTTTGGGACAGAGGTCTCTAAGGGAAGGTGCCCTGAGGGCCAGGCTGGACGGGAGACTAGGTGGGCGTGGGAGGCAGAGAGCTGGGGAGGAGTGGTCAGGTGGGGAGGCCGAAGCTCTGGGCTGCAGGCCTGGAGAGGAGATAGGGAAGTTCAGGTGCTTCCAGGAGGAGGTGGAAGGGTCCGGGCCAGGCCCTCCAGGAGCCTCCCGCCCTGCCAACCCGCCTCTGCAGACCTGGTCTGCAACAGGACCTTCGACAAGTACTCCTGCTGGCCAGACACCCCTCCCAATACCACGGCCAACATCTCCTGCCCCTGGTACCTGCCTTGGTATCACAAAGGTAACCTGAAAGGTCTGGAGGCACTGGGGGGCTGGGCCTGGAGCTGGAGTGACCAGAGCCTGTCCCCCCAGTGCAGCACCGCCTGGTCTTCAAGAAGTGTGGGCCGGATGGGCAGTGGGTGCGTGGGCCCCGGGGACAGCCATGGCGCAACGCTTCCCAGTGCCAGATGGAGGACAAGGAGCTCGAGGGCCAGGTCAGCAGGGTGGGTGGGCACCGTGGGACCAGTCAGAGGCAGGGAGTGGCCCCCAGCCCTGAGCAGCCACTGTGGTTCACAGAAGGAAGTAGCCAAGATGTACAGCAGCTTCCAGGTGATGTACACCGTGGGCTACTCCCTGTCCCTGGGGGCCCTGCTGCTTGCCCTGGCCATCATGCTGGGCCTCAGGTATGCCGCCTCCTCCGTCCTGCGCAGGGCAGCCCCAGGGCAGGTGCTGGGCACTGATCCCCTGTCCCTGCAGCAAACTCCACTGCACCCGCAACTACATCCACGTGAACCTGTTTGCATCCTTTGTGCTGAAGGCCAGCTCTGTGCTGGTCATCGACTGGCTGCTGAAGACCCGTTACAGCCAGAAGATCGGGGATGACCTCAGTGTCAGCATCTGGCTCAGCGATGGGGTGAGTGCCCAGAGCAGACCAGCCTAGACTGCTGCAGCCTTGGGCAGGCAGGGTGGTGACAGCTGCCCACGCTGGCCCTGCCCAGGCGGTGGCCGGCTGCCGTGTGGCCGCAGTGATCATGCAGTATGGCGTGGTGGCCAACTATTGCTGGCTGCTGGTGGAGGGCGTGTACCTGCATGGCCTGCTGGGCCTCGCCTCCTTCCCTGAGCGAAGCTTCTTCACCCTCTACCTGGGCATTGGCTGGGGTGAGTGAGTGGCTGCTGTCCACTGGTGGTGGGATTGGGCGGGCCAGCAGCACTGCAGGCCCACAACCACTGCCCCTTACAGGTGCGCCCCTGCTGTTCATCATCCCCTGGGCGGTGGTCAAGTGTCTGTTTGAGAACATTCAGTGAGTAGGGGCTGGTGAAGGACGGCCATGCAGCCGGGGCGGGGTGGCTGAGGGAGGTGGGGGAGGGGCTTCTGTGCCAACCTAGTGCCTGGGCAAGGGGTCACTGTGGCCTTTCCCCTTCCTTGTCCTGAGGTAGATGCCAGCAAAATCAGATGGGGGGGCTGAGAGACTTGGGGTGGGGGCTGTGTGCACCCCAGGTCGTGAGTGGCCGCCCCGCAGGTGCTGGACCAGCAATACCAACATGGGCGTCTGGTGGATCCTGCGAGCCCCGGTCTTCCTGGCCATCCTGGTGAGGAAACGGGACACCTCTGTCCCAGCAGGAGGGGCTGCTGGCTGGGGCTCCCCAGTTCCCCCTTCCTTGGCCTTCTGGAGCCCTAGGAGAGGTAGCATCTGGCCTGCGAGGAAGTGGGGCCCCGGCACTCTCCAGGACGCCGGCCTGGGCTGCCAGCAGGCTGTCTTCTTTGGCTGGGCTCCAGCCAGCCCAGGGCCACATGGCTGTGGGCCCACCTGCTGGGGCCCAGTGGGGATCACAGACCCTGGGTGGCCCTGACCTGGGCCCTCCTCCCAGATCAACTCCGTCGTCTTTGTCCGAGTGGTCCACCTTCTCATCACCAAGCTTCAGGCCCGCCAGGTGCACTACGCTGACTACAAGTTCCGGTGGGTGTGGGCACAGAGCTGCGATGCCAGAGAGGGGGCTCCAAGGCCTGTGGGCTGACCTGGCTCTGGACAGCAGGCCGGGCACTCAAGCTCCACTCCTGCAGGCTGGCCAGATCCACCCTGACCCTCATCCCCCTCCTGGGGGTCCACGAAGTGGTCTTCGCCTTTGTGACCGATGAGCAGGCTCAGGGGGCCCTGCGCTCCGCCAAGCTCTTCTTCGACCTCTTCCTCAGCTCCTTCCAGGTGAGCCCCACGCCCCACCCTCCCCCTGCTCAGAGACCCGGGACAGGTTCCTGACCGCCCCTTCCTTCCAGGGCCTGCTGGTGGCTGTCCTCTACTGCTTCCTCAGCAAAGAGGTAGGTGGGGGCTGGGCCAAGGAGTGGCACGGGTGCCAGTGCCCCCCATATGCCCTTCCCTTCCTCCTGTGTTTAACTGAGATGGTTGCCATGGCAGTGGGTGTCAGGACCCAGAGTCCTCAGGGAGCACAAGTGTGGGGGTCTCCAGCCTCTGCAGGCCCTGGCCTTCCCTGTGGTGAGGGCGGGAGGGTGTGGGGCCGAGGCTCAGGGACACCAGGTGGGACCCCTCCCCCAGGTACAGGCAGAGCTGCTGCAGCGCTGGCGGCGCTGGCACGAGGGCAGAGCGCTGCAGGACCCGCGACGCAGCAGCAGCCCCTCCGCCCCAGCTAGGCCTTGCCGTGGCCCCTCCTTCGAGAAGCTTCAACTTGTGAAGGGTGGCAGCAGCAATGGGGCTGGCCAGGACCCCTCTGCAGAGACCTCCTTGGCCTGTGGCCTCCCTGAGTTGGCTGAGAGACCCTTCTGAATCTCTGCTGGACTCAGGCACCAGACAGTGCATCACTGAACACCCCAGGATTGGACACCTGGCTGAGGCCAGAGGGGCAGGACAGCTGGACAGTGGCTGCCACTGTCCATGTCCCCCCTGCTGTCCCTGGGGCACAAGCCCAGTGGTGGGAAGTTGTGCATGAACTGCAGGCATGCCTGCCTGTTGGTCTGTCCTGTGCGTGTGGAAAGGTGTGTCCTCCAATAAAGAGCTGAGTAGTGGCTGGGTGGATCGCGAGGGCTCAGCTGGGAAGGCCCGAGTGGGTGTGGGCAGGGTGGATGGGCGCAGGCTGGTGCACTCCCTGGAGGGGCCCCTCTGATCCCTGTTCTACAGGGAGCTGGAAGGGTCCCCAGGGTGGCTAGCAGTGCTTGTCCTCCCATGCTGGATCAGGTCAGGGGCCCCTCTGGAGGCTTTGGCCTCACTCCCCCAACAGGTCACCATTCACCAGCAGAGGGATATGATGGGGCAGTGGGGGCTGAGGGAGGCCACTGGCACACAGCCTCACATGAACACCGAATTTACTCAGAGGGTGTCTTCCAAAAGCCTCTACCTGGAGACAGAAGGACCATAGACACTTGGCTCAGTCCTGCTCTTCCTGGAGCCCAGCCTCTGCTCCTGAGCTTTAGCTACTTGGTGCGTCCTGGGCCACACAGTGTTTGCAGTGGAGAGAAATAGCTTCCCAATCACTGTGGGTCCAGGTGGAGGTAGCAGCAGGGTCTGCCCCACCTCTGCACAGCCCCTGTCACCTAGCAGACGTCTGCCCACAACAGTCCAGGCCCATCCTGTGGTGGGTGGGCACACTCCCTGCCAGGTGGAGGTGGGGTGACACTGGCCGGAAAAGAGCTGCCCCAGGACTGGATGCAGGAAAGGCCTGGAAGTGCTTTGGGGTGGGAAGTCCAGATCAGGGGTGCACCCTGAGTCCAAGCTGAGGCATGGTGCAGAATGGTAAGTTTTGCACCCATGAGTTTAGATGTGCCATCCAGGACCATGTTGTTGGGCAGAAGCAAGTCCAGAGTGGTAGCCTGTGAGGGGACTGGTCAGCCTCCTGGGTACCATGATGCCTGGTGGTATGCATGCATGGGGTGGAGAAGGAGCCAGACAGGTGTCCCTGTTCAAAGGAGCTGGTGGAAGGTGGCCACTGGGCCCTCAAGGCGCTGGAGCACCGGCTGGAGCCACTCAGGCAGAGCTGGGCTAATTGGAGCAGATGAAAGGACATGAGGCCTCTCAGGAAAGGTAAATAGAATGACCTGCCAGGCGGGGCCCTCCCAGGGAGGCCCTCTCCCCGCACCCTGCCTGCGGGCCTGAGGCCGGAGGGAAGTCAGAGGGCACAGACAGAGGCTGGTTTAGAAGTAGCTGTATCTGATGGAGCTTGAGGCACCTGACCTGAGGCTTGGCCAGCTCTCATGCCAGGTGCCCAGGCCTGCGTCCTGACTCTCTATGGAGCCCTAGTTGCCTATATGGGCACAAAGCCACACCGAGTTAGCACAGGAGGGGCAAATTCTCCTTCACGGCAGCTGAGCTCAGGGTTGGGGACTGCCTTGGGGTTAAGTTGCTCTCCTGGGGCCTCCTGACAGCCCTCCCTACCCCAAGTCCCTCCCCTTGTCCTCCTTCAACCCTGCCCCATCCCCATCCCCAAGGGAACTGGATGGAGCAGGCTGCTGGAGTCAAGGGTGGAGGTGGAGCCTGGCCAGGGCTGGACTCATCAACCAATAAACACTGGTCCTGATGGGCAGTCCTGTAGATGGGCAGTGGAGGGACCCTCTCTCCAACACAGCCAGGTGCCCACAGAGAAGAGGCCCCGCCCCTCTCATCTCTCAGTGCCCCCTGCCTCTCCTGCCCTGCTGCCCACTCCCTTCCTGCAGGGAGTCTGAAGGAGTGTGCCGCAGAGCAAGCTCCCAGGCTCCCCTGTGTGGGGCCAGGCTGCAGAAGCCCGCTCCCAGAGGGACGTGTGTGAGCGAGTCGTGTGTCCTGTGACCCCCTGGAATGGGCACTGCTGAGGAAGGGTGGACCTCAGCAGTCAGGATGGAACCTGGGGAGGGCACCTCCAGCCTGGCAGGAGGCCTGGGGGGACCTCTCGAGGACATGAAAGTGACTGAGCACACTCAGGGGAGAATTAAATGACAGGGCAGAGTTCAGAACTTATTAGGAACTCCAGGAAAACAGTTGGGCAGCCTCATCTGCCCTACAGCTCAGTGCTGAGTACAAACACTGATGTAACTGAAGTTACCCAAGCACTGATGTAACTGAAGTTACGGGGAAGAGCTACATAGGGAAAGTGGAGGACAGCAAAAGCTCACGTGTGTGGCCACATGATCCTAGGGAGGGGGGACTGTGGCCCGGCAATAGAGTTTTGTTTGGGCCAGGCATTGGTGCCGCAGCCAGAACCACAAAAATTAATACGTAAACTTAAAAGAGAAAGAGGCAGGGGCTGTGGCTCAGGGGTTGAGCACTTGCCTAGCACCTGTGGGGGCACTGGGTTCAATCCTCAGCCACACCTAAAAATAAAAAAAATAAAGGTGTTGTGTCCACCGAAAACTGAAAAATAAATATTAAAAAATTCTCTCTTCTATCTTTAAAAAATATTTAAAAATTAAAAATAAAGGTATTGTGTTCATGTAAACTAAGGGGGCAGGGAGCAGGAAGCCCAGCCAGGTGCAGTGGCGCATGCCTGTGATCCCAGCAACTCTGGAGCCCGAAGCAGGAGGATCACAGGTTTTGAGGCCAGCCTGGGCAACTCAGTGAGCCCCTGTCTCAAAATTGAAAAAATAAATTTAAAAGGGCTGGAAACGTAGCTCAGTCATAGAGCACCCCCGAGTTCAATCCCTGGTCCCCCACCCAAATAAAAAATTAACAAAATAAGTGCTTAAAGGGATAAACACTTAAGGGGTGGGGGTGGCTCAGTGGTGGAGCCCCAGTACTTTAAAATAAACAAAAACAAACAACAACAAAAAGGCCCCACAACTAAAATTCCCTTGAAGGTCACTGTTTCCTGATGTGTAAATGAGGGTAGTAAAACTTCCCCATGTAGTCGCCAACGAAGAGTGCTGTGTGGATTCCTTCGCAACCTGCACAGGTGACACGGGACGGACCCTGACTCACAAGGATGCTCACCTCATCTCCCCCAGCCGGCCCCCTGAGCCACTAGGCACCTCAGAGGAAGAAGATGAGGCAGGGGGCTGGTCTGGCAGGAGGCCCACGGGCCCTAAGGAACTGAGGTGTGAGGTGGACGGAGAGCAGGGGTGAACCTGCCCCCACGGGCCCTAAGGAACTGAGGTGTGAGGTGGACAGCAGGGGTGAACCTGCCCCAGTGCTGCTCTAGCTCCCTTGACCACGCCTGTGCTCTCGGCCCACTGTGGCTACAGGAACACTGGCCACATGAGGTGGACTTGGCCCTGCAGTGGTCCCTGGCAGCCCTAGGTGGAAGGCTGGCGGGCATGCTGGGGGACTGGGTGGACCCCAGTGGACACATCTTGGCAGGCCTTCCAGGCAGGCTCTTTCTCCCCTTCCCTGCTCACCCCTGGCCTAGGCCACAACAGCTTGGACCCGGGACTTGGTCACAGTGCACTGGGCTCTGCTGCAGGAGGGTGTGTGGCAAGCCCTCCTTCCAACACCCAGGTGTTCTTGTAGACCATGCCCAGGACCTCTAGCTGGCAGAGTGCCAGGGAAGACCTTAAGGTGTGCCAGGGGACACAGATGTGCAGGCCCAGATGGCTGGGTCATGCATGCCCCAAGGGACCCTGGGTGTGGCCAGATCCCAGGGCAGGCCCCAGAAGGCTGGAATCCCAAGTCGGCACTCTCTCCTTCAGGCTGTCTCCAGATCATGTTGGGCACTAACTGCCCAGCGACCATTCAGATCACCACAGCTCAAACTCACTTTGCACCTGGGGAAACTGAGGCAAATCATAGCCACAGGCACTAGATTCTCACCTGAAGAAGAGTGGGTGGAACTCGTTGCAAGGCACGGAGGTAGGCACTAACCAAAGAATCTGAGGCCGGAGACTTGGCAACTTGCTCAAGGACCCCTCTGCCTCTGGGAAGGGGTGGGAAGCCCCCAGCAGGCCTCACGTGCGGGTGGATCTCGCACCTTTGCTGGCCCTGGCAAACCCAAGGGGTGGAAAGCACACCTGTTGGGGCCTTGCTTGCCCTGTCCACTGCCTTGACCTGGGTGGTCTAGGGTGCTCGGAGACACTGGTTGGTACAGGGTGTGGAGATGTGCTCGTACGCAACCCGAGCAAGCCATGTGCCATCCTCTCCAGTAGCAAGCTTGGGTGACCCCAGCTTGGGACACTCAAAGCCTCTATGGACGGCCTTGCAGATCCCCAGGGCCTAACAAGGCCACATGTTCCAGGGGTGGCTTGGCACCTGGCTCCAGTGAGTGCCACTGGCACCAAGGTGGGGCTCATCCTCATAGGCACTGTCCTCTCCCATGGAGAACTTGCCCAGCCCACCCCCAGAAGCCCGTGGGGCCACTCAAGCCCTGGAACACCCTTCTGGGAAAGGGTGTTCCTGAAATAAATTCCGGTTTGGCTCTGTCTCAGGGGCAGAAGCGTTCCAGGGCTGTTTCCATGTCTGAAGGTCAAGTGCAACTGGGGCTCTCGGGRGGCCCAGCAGCATGCTTCCACGTGGACACTGGGGAAGCCAACTCCCTGTCAGTAGTCCAGGCCATGGTGAAGGTGGGTCCAGGGCAGCAGATGGTTGCCCACTTGCCCCAGGGTCCTACCCCCAGAGAGAATGGCCTCAGGAGAGCCTCTAGTCTGGACAAGGGCTGACGGTTCAGAGCAGCTCATCTCTCCCCTCCTGGACACCCTCAGACCCCTGCCCTGTTCCCTGACTCACACTGAGAAGTGCTGGGCAGAGCCTCTACCGTGGCTGGAGTCCCCTGTCCAGGTGTGTGGGCTGCAGGGCAGAGGGCTGACAGATGGTCAAGAGGCCACTCCCAGTGCCACCCATGTTTATTCACAGACCCCCCGGCTCCAGGGCCACACAGACACTTGGCTTCCTGGGGACCCTCCCACACACTCCAGAGAGCCAGGACAGGCCCAACAGCACCATTTCAGCCCAGCCTTGGCACCCCTGGCCCAAGGGTGCCTCTGTGGCCACCGGGCTTAGGCACCAGGCCGGGTCTGGTTGCTGGGGACCCCTTTAGGGAGGTCAGTACTGTCTCAGGCCGAAACCTGGTGCCATCCTGAAGCTGAGGCAGGGAAGGGGAGGCTGGACAGTGGGGGCAGGGTGGGGGAGGCTCCCCAAGTGTCTAGGCAGAGGACCAGCAGAGGTCTGTGGGGGACCCAAGCTGGGTGCAGGTGCAGCTGTGCTTGTCCCACTTCCTGGTCATCTCAAGGACAAAACCAGCCCGTCCCACCAACCTGGGAAACAGGCCCCCTTTTCTCCTTCCTGATCCCGCAGTGGACAGGAACAGAAGGGAGGGGCAGCAGCAGGTGAGGAGAAGGGACTAGGGTCAGGGCCTCTGGCGGGGACAGGCAGGGCCAGACGCCCCTCCAAGTGACAGGGGCAGCTTGAGATCCCCAGGGAGGACAGGAGGGGCGCAGAGAGAAGTGGCCTCGGCCATCAATTCTGCTGACCCTAGGGCTTGCAGCCCACTGGAGCACGGCCCCTCCCTCCTCCTGGGAGGGCCTGCAGGACAGGAGGAAGCCAACATCAAGTGCACCCTGATCTTCCAGCGGCCAGGGGAGGGCGCTGGCACTCTAGGACTTCTTGGCATCCTGTGTGTTCCGGCGTTTCAGGTCACTCAGGTCAATCGGCTTGAAGGCTGCCGGGAAAGGTGTGGTCAGTGCTGGCACAGGCCCCTGGCCACCCCCACCTCTGGAAGCCCCTGGAGCACGTTGGTAGTGTGGGCAGGAAGCAGGTGGCTGTCCTGTGCCCCCCATGGCCCCACTCACTCTTCAGGCTGGGGTTGGGAACCTTCTCCACGTACTCCTCCACCAGGCCCCGCTCGCCACCTGACAGCTGGCTGCGCAGGTCTCGCTCCACACCCTGCCAGGCTGCCACAGGCGAGGGCAGTGGGGTCAGTGTCAGGCAGAGGCCAGCCAGGAGACACCCCTCTCCCTCTGCCAGCTGAAGGTACCTTCCAGCACCCAGCCCTCCCCACCATGGGCCTGGACTCTCAGAGATGACCCATCTGACCCAGCTTGGCTTCCCAGGAGTGCTTGGCCTTGGCTCAGCCCTCCTTCCACGTCCTCCACCCACCCTGACTCTGGGTCAGCAACTGCTGGGGGCACCCATCTTCCACACCTCCCTCCTTTCCCTAGCACCCCCAGTGCCGAGGACAGGCTGCCAAGGACAGGCTGCAGAGGCCATCTCCTCTGGGGTAATGCCTACTCCCTCACTCTCCTCTAGGGCTTTTAAGTGTCCCCTGTCACTCAATCTGCCTATCCCTCCCCCCAGATTTGGAAGGACTGATGGGGCACTAGCACCCAGAGTGGTGCAGTGGAGGCAGGAAAGGGCCCAGGGAGCTCCTGGGCATCGGGGCAGAGCAGGAAGGCTGACCATTCCCAGGAGGAGGAGCCCCTGCGCAGGCATACCCACCTTCATAAATAAAGCGCACATTCTCCTCGTGGGCAGGGGTGAAGATCTCACTGCTGTTGGTGGGCGAGCGTGGGCTGCTATTTCTTTTGCCGTTGTAGACGACTCTGGAGACGGGGGAACTAGGGGAGGACAGAGCATGAGGCTGGGTGCAGGGCAGAGCAGGCCCACTCTCACCCCTGATGAGGGCCATCATGGTGCCCAGAACACACCTGGTCATAGCTGGTCCTCTGGTCCTGGTGCTCTGCTGCAGGATCCCCTCTCAGCCTCTGAAACAGAAGCCCCCGAACACAGGAGTGGGACAGAGCATGACCCCTCCAGCAGAGGGGCAGGGTGCAGGCATGTCCACTGCCTCCTTCTAAGCTGTGGTCAAACTGTGTGGACCTGTCACCATCCAGGGGACACAACAGAATAAGGCCCAGCCCTGGGTGGCCCGTGGGCTCCAAGCAATCCTGGGCAGCCTAAGGCTGGGGCAGGGTCAGCTGGAGGAGGTTAGGGGCACCAGGTTAGGTCAGACACATGCAGGACGCAGCGAGTGAGCTGGCCTGGTGCTCGGCCCCATCAGTAGGCAGGGGCCTCTCTTAGCACCAGGTTGAGTGCCCCCTACTGGCTGCACAATGGGGATGAGAAGCCCGCACACACCAGAGGCCCCAAGGCTGCCTGGTCCCCTCGGGCTGGGGTGTGAGCAGGAACAGACCTATCAAGACTGGGCAGTGGGGAGCTGCCAGGCCTGACCAGGGACCAGGACTGAGGAGGTTACTGCCAGTTTAGTCTCAGCTCAGGGGATTTTCACAGCTTGAGTCTATTTGGGGGGTGGCCAGCTGTGGACATATGGTCCACACAGGATGCAACCCATGTGCTAGGGACAAGACAGCCCCAGAAGGGGGCCTGTAGTATAGAACCCTACCGGCCCATCCCCAGGGCGAGGGGCTCCACGCAGCCCAGAGCACACAGCTGCATCCCCTCATGAAGGGCAGGAGCTTGGCATTCTGGGCTCTCCCGCCCTAGCTGCCAAGCGGTCATATAATGATTCATCGACTGAACGCGGCACAAGTGAACATAGCCCACCACCAAAACAAGAACAAAAAGGGTACAGTTAGCTGAGGGGGCCTAGGACCTGTGCCCCCCACAACGTGCTCATGCTTTCTTGCACTCCAGGGGCTCTCTGCCCATGGTCCTCCAGGGCTACCAGCCTGGTAACGCCAGAGCACAGGGAAAGCCCTGTGGGCCTGATGAGGCAGCAGGACCAGGTGGACAGCCTCAGAAAAGGGAGGCACTCAGCACCCGCCTCAGCTCCGAGGGCCCAGAAGGCCTGCTGTCCCACGCTGACTGCTGTGTCCAGGGACTCCTACCTCCAAGCCTACCCTCCTGTGCCTCCCTTCCCAGTGAAGCCTCAGCCTCAGGCTCGGTGGCCACAGCCTCCAGTGGCTGCCTGGCTTTCACAAATGCCATGCCCTCAACCTGGGTCCCCCTGCTGGCACCAGCCTGGCTGGCAATGATGTTTGTGTTTGGCCAAGTAAGGACACCTGAGCATGTTTACCGGCCAGGCCTGAGGGAAGCATAACACCAGATGAGCAGGGTCCTGAAAACGCAGACAGGCAGGGGGCTGAGCCTGGGACCACAGCAGGGGAATGGGCGGGGGAAAATGGCTCAGGCAGCAGAAGTGCCAGAAAGCACACACACAAAAATCCCTCCAGGCTTCAGAGGGCTATCAGGTTGCAGCCCGTTGCTCTGCAGCCTAAGCAGTGAGTGGTGGTCTTGTCCAGGCAGACCAAGGGACAGGGACGGGTGGAAGGAGAGGCTGTCAGTGAGCAGCCAGGGAGAAGGCTGTCTCCAGAGCCCATTCAGCACAGCTCTCCCAGGCCTCCACGCCACTGGGGCCACCACCAGGGGAGGAGGAGGGGCAGGGTGGGCAATGCCACCCCAAGCTCTGCATCCCTCCCTGACTTTGCCTTCTCTCTTCCATAATCATTTCCTCAACACTGGGGCCCAACACCTCAGCCTACATGCAATTGTTCTTTATGTGCTGCCAAAGGTTGAACCTAGGCCTCTCACATGCGAGTGAAGCGTCCCACCACTAGCGACACCCCCAGCCTGCTGAATTTTAACTTCAACACAGGTTCCCACAGAGTTGCTGAGGCTGCCCTTGAACCTGCAATCCTGCCTCAGCCTCCCCAGGAGCTGGGATTCAGGCATGAATCATGCATGGCAAGATACCTTTCCCTCATGACTCTGAAATTGGGCTGTATCTAACAATCGCTAACATGTCAAAGTTTGGCAGTTTCTTTTTCTTTTTTTCTCTACAGACCATGAAACAAGAGGAAGCTCATCAAGCAGTGTCTCAGACCTGAGGACTCCAGAGTCCCTCCACCAACAGACTTCCTCCATTCACTATCCCCACCTTGCGGACACTCAGTCTAGCCCTGCTGCATCGGCCTCCCAGGCTGGGGACATTCTGGACACCTTCCGCGTCACTCACCAGAAAGATGCCAATGGCCTCTTCTGCTATCAAGCCCAAGGCCCAGGTGTTTCATGTTCTCTCAGGTGTCACTGCTACACCCCCACCCCAATCCCATATGTAGTCTTTGCCACAGAACTGCCTGCCACTTGCCACCCCTCAGTGCAAGTGACCTTCCAGTCTACGTGCTGTGCAGGACTCAACTGCTTGTAGTCTTGATTGTGCAGCCCACAGGGCCAGAAATACCCTGGCCAGAGGTTGTCCATCCCTCCTCTGCCACCCCCAGGAAAGTCCCTCTTGGCCTCAGCATCCTCATTGGGAGTAACACATGAAGCCTCTACCTCAAACAAGGTCTCCACAGCTCCTTAACCAACAGAACCACAGCAGGTCATCACACACCATTTTGTCCAATTGGACACTTTTAAGAATGAAAGGGGATGCTGTTGATTACTAAGCAGAACACAAGACAGCTCTGAGCAGATCGGAAGATAGAGCCAGCCCACTGGTAATGACCACCACCCAGAAAAGTACAGAGTACTGAAGAGACTGCGTGGTCACAGCAGACACAAAGGTGCTTTGCACACACGGCTCTGGTACCTACAGCTGGGACAGCAAGAAGGCACCTGATGACCCCCATCCTGCCGAGGTCAGCAGCTGGGTGGGCCCAAATGCTGAGGCTGGCCCAAGCCCCCTGCAGCATGCCTCAACGCTTGCCGGCACCCCAAGGCGGGGTCCTGGCCTTCCGACAGGCCCGATGCCCAGGGCCTCCCTCGGGCCCGGCTCGCTCTGGCTGTCCACCGCAGGCTGGGAGGGGCGTCGGCGGAAGCGGCCTGCTCCAAGGGACCCAGGGCTTCAGAGGCGTCTGGGCGAGGCAGCGGCGGAAGCGGCGAGAGTGCGGGGGCCGGATCGCGCCTCGATCGCTCCCCTCGCGGCCACGAGCTGGGGACGCGGCACCAGGTGGTACTCTTGTCCAGCAAAGTGACAACGGGCGTCCACGAGCAGGGCCGGCGGTGCGGAGGCCGCGTTCCTCCCTCTGCAGTTCTGAGCCGCCGCTGCCCCTCGGAGCTCTCTATCCCCTTGGGCCGACCACCGGCCGAGCGGGGCCAGCGGGGCCGGCGGCAGGCCCGGCGCCCTGTCTGCACCCGCCAGCGGCGCCGCCGCGCGCGGACACTGCCCGCCACGCGCCTCGGCCCCGGCCACTCGCTGCCGCCCGGGGGCGCAACGGGAGCAGCCTGGCAGCAGCCTCCGGCCCGCCGCCCGCCCCGCCCCGCGGCCCAGACCCGCCGCCGGCCGCGCCCGCCTCACCTCGCCCGCTGCGCCGCCGCCTCCCGAGGGCCGGCCGGAAGTGACGCCYGCGCAGGCGCAGAGGGCACGTGACCGCGCCGGGGCGGGGGGGGGGCGGCTCCGGAAGGTGGCGGGCCCGGCGGGCGCGCAGACCGGGAAGCAGGAGCGGAGCCGGCAGTCGGGCCGAAGGGGCCCCGGGAGGCCCCGTCCGGCGAGGGTGCTGAGCGCCCGTCCCTGGACCCTAGGAATCAGGCCACCACCACAGGCTTGGGGATCACGTTTATTGAAAAAGTACAAAGTGTCACCATAAAAAATCCACCTAGAGGGCTGGGGACGCCGCTCCGTGATAGCGCACTTGCCTACCACGTGTGCGGATCTGGTTTGAGCCCCAGCACCACAAAAATATTTCACCTGGTGATTAAGCCAAGCCAGAGACATGGGTGTAGGGGACAGGGGCCTCGCCTGAGGACCAGTCCTGGCCAGCCCAGCGGCAGCCCTGAGCCACAAATGAAGAATGCCCTGTTCCCTGGAACAGGGTGCAGGCCTCTTCTCCAGGAGGCAGGAGCCCCGGAGTGCAGCTCCAACTCAGTCCATCCTGGTTCCTTTGAAGAGCTCCACCAGGTCCTTGAAGTCCGGGTCAATGAGGTCAGAGGGCAGGTCCCCATCGTCATTGGCTGCATCTCTGTCTGCCCCCAGAGAGATGAGGTACCTGGATGCAGAGGGCAACCCTGGTTGAAGCATGCTTGTCCCCACCCCAGCACGCAGGCATAGAGCCCTGGGTCACCTGTTTGTTTTTCCACCCAGGGTGAGGAGGAAACCTGACCCTTTGGAAGCTGCGGCCAGCTTTCCAGTTTGTTATGGGCCAACACAGGATAGAAACAGGGTGCCAGGGGACAACCCTGAGGGTTCATGCCTGCACCCTCAGAGCTGTCTTTTGGGGACCCACCTCCTGGGGACCAGTGGATGCCTGGAGAGGTTGGGCCAGGACCTTTCTGCACCAGGTCCCACTCTCTCACCTGGCGATGTCAGGGTACCCATCACTGCAGGCCATGTGCAGAGGTGTCCACCCCGTCTCGTCACGCTGGTGAATGTCAGCTCCATATTTGACCAGCAACTTTACACACTCCAGGTTTCCAGAGAGCACTGCTTCATGCAGAGCAGCTAGACCTGTGCAGGTGGGAGGGCAGGGGTCAAGGCTGGAGTCCTCCACATTGACCTTCCCCAGTATACCCACAGGCCCATGGCCAGTCCCTCTGGGAATCACTCACCTGAGGGGTGGATGGTGTCCAGGGAGACTTTCCGAGCCCGGATAAAACGCCCTACCTGCTCCAGGTCACCCTGGCGGATGTGGTCCAAGAAGAGGACGTCATTAGGGAAACGTACACTTCGGTCAGCCAGCAGTCGCCGGCGCCGCTGCCGGGGGCTGTAGCGGGCATATCGTACTGTTCTGCTGGGCATCCTGGGGGCTGGGGTGGGCTGCCCCCTGGGGACCCGACTGCACTGGGTGAGGAGTGTTCCAGCCAGACCAGGTCAGCGTGCAGGTTCTTCTGATGAGACTTTGCTTCCGGCTTATATAGTGTCTGCGGAGCTATATAAAGCTGCGTGGTCATGCCTGTGGACGAGAAGGCTGAAACCGAGCTGCCCCCTCCCTGCGCACCGGATCATGTTTGGTGGCTCATCTTTCAGCCCACCTGTCSTTGTGTCCGGCCAAAGGGGTCAGATCCTTCCTGGCCACCGCTCCCTGCCCCACAGCTGGACCTAGAAGGTGCTTTAACAGAGGGCAGGAGAAGGACAGGGCCCATGAAGAAGGCCTCAGATGTGGGCTCAAGGGCAAGGTAGGGGCCAAGGTTGTAAGGAGGCCCAAGCACCTGGGGATGAGTGGCCTCTGCCTCCTGGAGAGGGAGGGCCTCCCCACATCCGAGGAGCACTGGTCTGTCTGCTGTGGGGGAGGCCAGGCCTAGCCATCTCCACCTGTCACTTCCTCATCAGCTTCTGGTGCTGTGGTTTCCTGGGAGCTGCCTTGAGGGCTCTGTCTGCATGGACCTGCTCCCCAGGCTGGGCGCTCCAAGACCAGGATCCTGCCTGCCCTGGGCAGCCCTCCCTCCCGCAATTTCCACTGCCTGCCATACCTTCTCTGGGTTCTGAAATGCTGCCAGAAACTGTTCACATTGAAGGTGGTGTCCAGTCTGTGTCCCTAGTGAAGGGGCTATGTGGGGTGGTGTGACCCTCAGCCCAGCCCTCGCAGGCTGTCAGTACCTCGCGTTTTTTTTTTTTTAAAGAGAGAGGGAGAGAGAGAAAGAGAGACAATTTTAATATTTATTTTTTAGTTCTCAGCAGACACAACATCTTTGTTGTTATGCGGTGCTGAGAATCGAACCCGGGCCGCACGCATGCCAGGCGAGCGCGCTACCACTTGAGCCACATCCCCAGCCCCATGTACCTCGAGTTTTGTTTTGCTTTTTTTTTTTTTTTTTTTTGATGGCTGTGCTGGGGCTTGAATCTAGGGTGCTTTACCATTGAGCTTTTCTTTATTTTTTATTTTAAGACAAGATCTCACTAAGCTGCCAAGACTAGTCTTGAACTTTTGATCCTCCTGCCTCATCCTCCTGAGTGGTTGGGGTTACAGGCCTGGACCACCGCACCTGGCTAAATCTCCTTCTCACAGGGCCAGCAGCCATACTGGACTTATGGCCACCTTACTCCAGTATGACCTCATCTTAACCAATTACAGGAACAGTGACCCTGTTTCTAGATAAGTTCACATTCTAGCTGGGCATGGTGGCAAATGCCTGTCACCCCAGGGACTCAGGAGGCCAAGCAGGAGGATGCAAGCTCAAGGTCAGTTTGGGCAACTTAGCAAGACCCTGACTCAAACCAACAAAAAACCCTATCAAAGCACAGTTGGGGATATAGCTTAGCAGCAGAATTCTCCTGAGTTCAATCCTAAATACTGCCCTGCTCCCCCCAAAAAAGTCACATTCCAAGGTACTGGGGGATAGGACATGAGTCGGAGACGAAGCTCAACATCCCACTGGTGAGATGCTCCAGGTGGCCACTGGAGGCCTAAATAACAGGACTGAGACTGGCCAGCTCTGCAGGCAGGGAGGAGAGGCAGTGCTCCATCATTAGCTGGGCCCCAGCCAACAGAGTCCAGTCAACAGGTGTGTCGGACCCCCTCAAGGTGCAAAGCTTGAGCCACAGGCTGCAGGCCACCCTGCCTGGAAGCGTCTCCCTGCCTCAGTGCCCACTGGGCCTCACACAGGGCTGCGGACTCTGCACCCCACACACAGCCTGTCTAGGCCCGACCTGTGGGGACCCTGCTGGGTGGTGCCTGGGTCCTGCATTTTCAGGGACTCTGGGAGTGCTGGGCAGTCATGACTCCTGGCCACTTGGGAAGAGTCAGTACAGTTTCTTCTCCCTTGTTTACAGGAAGCCAGGAGACTAAACATTCTGTCCTGTGGCCAGCTGGCGGCAGCTCTGCTGCAGACATGGCTTTTCTCTTGTTGGGCAAGGACCTGGGTTCCATCCCTAACAGAGAAAGAAAGGTGGGGGAGGGGAGAGAAAGCTAGGAGACAGTGAGGTGAAAATGCCTCCGTCCAGCGCTGACCAGGGCCCCAGAATGGCCCTTTCCAGCAGGCTTTGGGCCTCAGGCTAGACAGGACTGAGCTGAATGGGTCAGATGAGCCTGTTTGGCAGCCCCAAGTCGGACCCCAAGTGGCGCATCCTGCAACCAGTGCCCTGAAGGCCTGTGTGGATCAGAGAAGGGACTGGTCCCCAAGGCTTCTCAGTCACCACAGGTTCCCTAGAGGAATGGATGTGCTTTTGTTGTAGTTGCATCCTGAGTCCCAGAGGCACCTCAGCAGGAGAGGACCCTCTGCTATCATGGGTGAAATGAAAAGGTTTGTCCCTAATTTGTCTCAGTTGATATGAACTTGTGATAAAAGTGACCTGGTCTGCATGATTTTAAGTTTCCATTTTTTTCAACGACAAATTAAAACATTTATGCAAAAAGGTTACCATCTGCCAAGTGCGGCAGGGCACGCCTATGATCCCAGTGACTGGGGAGGCTTAGGCAGAAGGACCACAAGTTCAAAGCCAGTCTCAGGAACTTACTGAGTCCCTAAGCAACTTAGCAAGACCCTGCCTCAAAATTAAAGGGGGCTGGGGATACAGCTCAGTTGGTAGGTTGCTTGCCTCATGTGCACAAGGCCCTGGGTTCAATCCCCAGCACCAAAAAAAAAAAAAAAAAAAAAGAGTTGGGGATGTGGCTCAGTGGTAAAACGCCCCTGGGTTTGGTTCCATCCCCCGTACCAACAAGAAAAAAGAAAGCTGGCATGCTGAAGGGTGGCGGCCCAGGGCAGGCTGTAGCCCTTCCTCCCAGGAAGGCTCTGAGGCCAGAGGACCCTGGGGCAGTGAGCACCATCAGCCTGGCATTTGCTTTTTAGGTTTCAGTGGCTTCTGGTCATCTGGGGAGAGAGCGAGGGATTGGGAAGTCCCAGACTGTTAAGCCTTCACTGCTTCCCCCAGAGCCTTCAGGCTTGCCTTGCTAATCCACTGGCCCAGCCAGCGAGGTTTTGGACACCACCCCACAGCCTCGGCACAACCTAGCCCAGGAATGCACTCATCAGCTGCCTCTGCGAAGGGGAAAGGTATCCGTGACTCACTCTCGGCCCAGGAGCGCGTGATGGTGGCCGCCTGGTCCCAACATTCTATCCCGAGACCAAGCGTCTGCACAGCTGGGAAGCAGGGTCACCCACACCCTGTCCCTCAGACAGGGAGTGTAGCCCACCCCTTTCAGCTGTGGCTGGAGATGGCCACCTGCTCTGGCCCTGCTGCCTGCCTTCCCCCAAAGGCCCCGTGGCTCCTGCCCGA